ATTTTGGACCATAACGTTGGAGTGGCATCTTGCATCGGCTATGAACCGGGCGCTGTCTCCACCCGAAGAACATCCACATCTGCGCCTTGCTTTAGGCCTCCTCCTCCGAGTACGTGAATCTAAAGGAGCGGGTATGAAGAGGGGTGAGGATTACGACCGGGTGGTGTTGAATACATTACATTTTAAAAAATAATAATAAAGGTTGAGAAGTGAACCCAGTGCCTCACTATGTAAAACTATAGCCTTTACTGCCTACTGACAAATTGCCTGCAAGTTGTTAGAGATATACATCATGCCCCCACCTTATTGTGCAACAATAAATTTTAGCTTTAAACTATGAATTTTAAAAACCTTATAAAAATCTTATTTGAACAATTATAATCAAGGCATTTTGTGTAGTATTCCCACAGCAATAGCTTGTATATAACCTCCTCCTGCCCACGGGGGATAAAAACATTTTTTTCAAAAATATATTTAATATATACACAAAGAGTTGTAAACGCAGCAAAATACTTACTGAGCTGCTCTTCGGGGCGCGTGCCGTTAATGCTGCGATAAGCTACCTCTGATATGAATGAAATGATCTCGGTTAACATACACGCTTTCGTAAAACATAAAAAATAAAATTGCATCACTTTTTTTTCTTTTCAGGGGGTACCTGGATTCATCTCGAAGTGTGGAGAGCCTGAGTGACTAAGTGTAAGACTTGTGTCCGAGTGTTTTACCCCCTGTTTTTGCACCTCTCTTACAAAAAGCGCTGTGATGAGGAACATATGGTATAGGCTCTGTTTTAACCATCTACAGAATTACCCCCAATAAATAACTCAGACATCTGTTGTCTCATGTTTCCCATGGGTCTCATTTGAAACTAAATATCTGCAAATCACTATTGACCTACCTACGTTCCCCAACTTAAAAAAAAAAAAAAAAAAAAAAAGCTGCCACCTGTTATGGTTTAGTCCCCCTCACCAGGAGGGTGAGGGAGAACTGGGGTAGGACTCAAGATGGCTGACCCAGGTGCTAGTACAAAAAAGGTGGTTTAATGGAATAAAAACAACATGACAACAAAACAGGGTCCATAATACATACAACAAGGGAAGGGCATTGATGACTAAGGAGACCAGGACGGTAAACACACAAACTAATGACAGGAACTAGGATAGCAGGAGGATGAGAACGGACAGGTGAACAAAAAGAACCAACGTACACAATGTAATCCACAGCACA